ACTATGGGAAGAGAGAAAATGCCATTGCTGCCTCTTCCGAGCAAGAAACTTTTCCTGCTTGGGCAAGTGATGTGAAACAATGTCAAGAGAAATACCAAGTGAATCAAGAATTAGGATTATCAAGCGCTGAAGTTGAAAAAAGGAGGCAGATTTATGGATGGAATGAGTTAGAAAAGCATGAGGGCACGTCGATATTTAAACTGATATTGGAGCAATTTAATGACACATTAGTTAGGATATTATTGGTTGCTGCGATTGTATCATTTGTATTAGCTTGGTATGATGGTGAAGAAGGTGGGGAGATGGAGATAACAGCTTTTGTGGAGCCGCTTGTTATTTTCTTGATCTTGATAGTGAATGCCATTGTTGGAATATGGCAAGAAAGCAATGCAGAAAAAGCATTGGAGGCTTTGAAGGAAATTCAATCGGAGCATGCAAATGTAGTTCGAGATGGTAAAAAGGTCTCAAATTTGCCTGCAAAGGAACTTGTTCCAGGTGATATTGTGGAGTTGAGAGTTGGTGATAAGATACCTGCAGATATGCGGGTTTTGAGTTTGATAAGCTCAACTGTAAGAGTTGAACAGGGGTCATTGACTGGAGAGAGTGAAGCTGTGAGCAAGACTGTGAAGGTTGTTCCTGAGAATTCAGATATTCAAGGGAAGAAATGTATAGTTTTTGCTGGAACAACTGTGGTCAATGGAAACTGTATTTGCTTGGTCACCCAGATAGGCATGAGTACAGAGATTGGGAAGGTGCATTCGCAGATTCATGAAGCATCACAGAATGAGGAAGATACCCCGTTAAAGAAGAAGTTGAATGAATTTGGAGAGGTTCTAACAATGATAATTGGAGTGATTTGTGCATTGGTTTGGCTTATTAATGTAAAATACTTTCTTTCTTGGGAGTATGTTGATGGTTGGCCTAGAAACTTTAAGTTCTCATTTGAGAAGTGCACATATTACTTTGAAATTGCCGTGGCATTGGCCGTCGCTGCCATTCCAGAAGGTTTACCAGCAGTTATTACGACATGTTTGGCACTTGGAACCCGAAAGATGGCTCAAAAGAATGCACTTGTTCGGAAGCTGCCTAGTGTTGAGACTCTTGGTTGCACAACCGTTATCTGTTCGGATAAGACAGGAACTTTGACTACCAATCAGATGGCTGCTTCAAAGCTTGTTGCTATAGGTTCAAGGCCTGGCACTCTGCGATCTTTTGATGTGGAAGGGACTACATATGATCCTTTTGATGGGAAAATACAAGGCTGGCCTGTTAATCAAATGGATGCCAATCTTCAAATGATTGCAAAAACTTCTGCTGTTTGCAACGATGCTGGTGTTGAGCAATCCGGGAATCATTATGTTGCCACTGGAATGCCTACAGAGGCAGCACTAAAGGTGAAAATCCCGTGAAATCAAGTCCTTTTAGTTTTTACATTCTTCATCTGTCTGAACAAACCCAAGTTAACATGCAGCAGGAGCCAAAGCAGAAACTTAACTTTGAACCTGTTTTTTAGTAGCATATTTCGAGTTTAAATTGTGTTCTTATGAGCAGTAGAACAGGAACGCCTAGATCTCTGCATCAACTATTCCTTTACTTCCATTTACTGCATAAGAAGCATGCTGCGGTATGCCATCTAATAAGCATGGCTTGTTTGCCCATGAAACTTGTGATGTGCTTTCTAATTTTTCAGAGTGTAAACGTTCAGTTTCTATGAAAATTCATGTTGCTTATTTTCCCCTCACTAAGAGATTTTATTTGGTTCTTTTTCATTCCAGGTTCTGGTTGAGAAAATGGGATTTCCTAAAGAGTATGGTTCCTCTTCTGGTCATCGGGATCCTCAACGTATGTTAGCTGCTTCCTTTCCTATATTTTTTTGGTTCTTAGGTGATGATGTCTAGATCCTACTGAGCTTTCCTTTTATTTTATTATGTTACACAAGGTTGTTGTCAACTGTGGAACAAAATGGAGCAAAGGATTGCAACACTTGAGTTTGACCGTGATCGAAAGTCCATGGGAGTTATTGTAAATTCCAGCTCAGGACGAAAGTCATTGCTAGTAAAGGTTTATTCATCTCTCTTTGCCTTGTAACATAGACTGACCACTTCTAAAATTAAAACCTTGATTTGCTTATGTTGCTCATGCGTTCTCTTCTAATATCCCTTTTTTTTTTTTTGGTGCCTGTAAACATCCAAGTGAGATTTTAACATGGTGCTTCTGGCTTAAAGTTTATTTGCACAACCTTTCCACGTATCACTCTAATTGTGCTTAACGCTGCAGGGTGCTGTAGAGAATTTATTGGAGAGGAGCACTTTTATCCAGCTACTTGATGGCTCTATTGTGGAACTAGATCAATATACAAGGGATCTTATTTTACAGAGTCTTCATGAAATGTCAACAGATGCATTACGATGTCTTGGTTTTGCATATAAGGAAGAGCTTTTTGAGTTTGCAACATATAATGGTGATGAAGATCATCCAGCTCATCAGCTTTTGCTTAATCCATCCAAATATTCCTCAATTGAGAGCAAACTTATTTTTGTTGGTTTAGTTGGGCTAAGGGTAATTTGCTTATGGTTTTATTTGCTTTTTGGTTTTCTTACTTCTGTCTACCCTTTGTCTGAACCACTTGAACAAAACTATCAAGGATCCACCTCGGAAAGAGGTTCGTCAAGCAATTGAGGACTGCAAAGCAGCTGGGATTCGTGTTATGGTCATTACTGGAGACAACAAGAACACAGCAGAAGCTATTTGTCGAGAAATCGGTGTATTTGGATCTTATGAGGATATCAGCTCAAGAAGCTTAACTGGAAAGGATTTTATGGATCATCCTGATCAAAAGAATCATCTGAGACAGAGTGGAGGTATCTTATTTTCTCGGGCTGAGCCAAGACACAAGCAAGAAATAGTTAGGTTGCTGAAGGAGGATGGTGAAGTGGTTGCAATGACTGGGGATGGAGTTAATGATGCTCCTGCCTTGAAGTTGGCTGATATTGGAGTAGCAATGGGCATTGCTGGGACAGAGGTATTCACCATCCTTTTCTCTATATTTATTTTCATTTAATTTGGGGGATAACATCTACGGTGTCCATATGGTTACTTGCATCTTTTCATGTGTTATTCATTTTATGCTTGTGTGTCCTGTTTCGCTACTGTACATTGTCAGCTCTCTTTGTGAAATAGCACTTTGCCTGATGATTCAGAGAGGCCCATTTTATTAGCTTCTTTTGAATGCCTATGCAAGATGCATAGCTGTGCTGCATTTTATTCAGAATGCGTGTGGTGTAACAGCTCTATTGCTTTTTCCTGACATTATGTACACATGGAGTCAACTAATTATTCTAAATTTTTCAGTAGGATTCATCTGTATTGGCTTGGGCAATCATAGTTTATATCGTTGCCTATTTTCATGAATGCTTTATTTTCTTATTCCATCTATTCTCTCTCTCTCTCTTTCCAGGTTGCAAAGGAAGCCTCTGACATGGTGTTAGCAGATGATAACTTCAGCACTATAGTTGCTGCAGTTGGTGAGGGCAGATCCATTTACAACAATATGAAGGCTTTTATAAGGTCATTATTGCTATTTTTTAAGATGTATAACTTGAAAATGAACTGGCGGTGTTGTTGCATATCTTCATGATTTATGCTGCTGGTTTTACTGAAATTTAACAAATTGCATTGAGTCTGCTCTCTTAATGACAAAGCTGCCCTCTTTCAAGCTATATCCAACTTAAATGAAGCATATTTACAATGTTATCTTCATTCTTTTTTCCTTTCCTCCAAAATTTTTGGTCAATTTGTATTAATCTTTTAATTCACTTCATAGAGTGACATTCTTCTACTTCTAATTGCAGGTACATGATCTCCTCCAATATTGGTGAGGTTGCTTCTATATTTTTGACAGCTGCTTTGGGTATTCCAGAAGGCATGATCCCTGTTCAGCTTCTCTGGGTTAATCTCGTAACTGACGGACCTCCAGCAACTGCTCTAGGGTTCAATCCCCCAGACAAAGATATAATGAAGAAGCCTCCCAGAAGAAGCGATGACTCATTAATCACTGCTTGGATCTTATTCCGCTACCTGGTAATTTTTTTGTTTTTCTATTTGTTGAACCAAAATTAGTAGGAAACTTCTTTTTCTTTGTCCCTGACTATGCAATGTGGAAGTACCAATGATGTGAGCCAACTTGATACCTCCATTGATGCAGGTGATTGGGCTCTATGTCGGAATAGCCACAGTTGGGGTATTCATAATTTGGTACACGCACCAAACCTTTCTGGGTATTGATCTGAGTGGAGATGGCCATAGTATCGTTACCTATAACCAACTTGCCAACTGGGGTCAGTGCTCTTCTTGGGAAAGTTTCTCAGTATCACCATTCACGGCAGGTTCCCAAGTGTTCAAATTCGAAACAAACCCATGCGATTACTTTCACTTGGGGAAAATCAAAGCCACAACACTTTCCCTCTCTGTCTTGGTAGCCATTGAAATGTTCAATTCGCTTAACGCCCTTTCTGAAGATGGAAGTTTATTAACAATGCCTCCTTGGGTCAACCCATGGCTCCTTTTAGCCATGTCGGTCTCATTTGGGTTGCACTTCTTGATTCTCTACGTCCCATTCCTTGCTCAAGTATTTGGGATAGTTCCCCTCAGCCTCAACGAATGGCTCCTGGTTATAGCGGTTGCTTTCCCAGTCATTTTAATCGATGAGGTTCTTAAATTCATAGGAAGATGGACAAGCGGGTTCCGGTATTCTGCTGCGACAAAATCATCAAAGCATAAAGTTGAGTGATTTATACAGTAATTGTAACAAACATTTAGAGGATCGAACTTTGATAGACCCTTTCAGCCTCTTTTGTTTTTCTGAATTTTTTATAAATCAATTTGAGCTAATGTATTTGGAATTAGACATAAAAGAAACATTAAGATTAACTTCAAATTTCATTAAAATCTGTAATTCAGAGAACGAATTACAAATCACAAAAGCAAACAACAGGACAACTTAAAATTTCTAGTCATCCTAACAGACCCCCTAATTGCAAGCCCTAACCCTAACCGCTCAAGCATTCTTGACAGCAAGGCTTCAACTCCCCACCACCTATTTTATCAAACCTAAAACCTAAGTTCACCTAAGATCTAACCACCAAATCCATACAAAGTCCTACCCTGCCTCTTCAGTGCATAAACCACATCCATAGCAGTCACAGTCTTTCTCCTCGCATGCTCGGTATAGGTCACAGCATCACGAATCACATTTTCCAAGAAGATCTTCAGAACTCCACGAGTTTCCTCGTAGATTAAGCCACTGATACGCTTGACTCCTCCCCTACGAGCCAAACGACGAATTGCTGGCTTTGTGATTCCCTGGATATTATCACGGAGAACCTTACGGTGACGCTTTGCTCCTCCCTTGCCCAATCCCTTGCCTCCCTTTCCTCTTCCTGACATTTTCAATATCCAACAAAGAAGGCCAATATTTTTAGGATAATTTGGAGATTTGAAGCTTTAAAAAAATGGTGGGATATTTATAGGTGAAGCGCGGAGTATTTTGTTGGCAGAGTGATCCACGTGAAATGTTTAACGATGAAGTTTGGACGTTGATAAGTTATAATGGAGGGTTGAGATGAGGAAAATTATCGACGCGGATCGATGACGTGGATAGATTTTAGCGGTTATTTTTGAAACGGCTTTTTTGGTTTTTGTGTTTCTTCGTGAGTTGAAATCTCGGAAACGATTTTTGGAGCGGAAACTAGATTAGGCAATCGTCAATTGGGGGCCCAATAATGAAGCCCATATAAATGGTATTGGCCCAACTAACTGGTGTTTTGGACTTTATGTTTTCTTCATAAATAAACCCAAAACCGCACAGCTCCCCAATCCTTCCCATCCTAAAACCCTAACCTTTCTCGGTCTGAGTAACAATGGGATTTTTCGACCTTAACATTCCGTACACCGATTCAACGCCGCCCAACAACGTGAATTCTTCTGCCTCCGCCAAATCAACCCGCATTAAAATCGTGATCAAAGCGATGGAGTTGGGCTACACGGGTATCGCCTACAACCGTACGATCAGGGGCGTCATGTCTGATCGCGACCGTTGCTCAATTTCTCTCCTCACTCTCTCCTCTCTCCTCAATATCGCCCCCTTTCTATCCTCGTCCGTCAAACTCCATCGCGATCTCCTCGGCGTCCCTCGCTCCTCCCCTTTCCGCCAGTACACGCGCCTCACCGTCTGCATCGACACCGCATCGCAGTCACAAGCGTTGAATTCGGGAAACCCGGTGTTGAAGACGTACGACGTCGTTGCCGTTAGGCCATTGAACCAAAATGCATTTGATCAAGCATGCGAAAAAGCTGAGGTCAGGTCCTTAATTTAATCAAATCTTAACGGATTAATGAAATTAAATATTTTTTATTTTTTGTTTTGATATAGGTGGATATAATTGCAATTGATTTCTCAGATAAGCTGCCGTTTCGATTGAAATTGCATATGGTTAAAACTGCTATTAAGGTTTGCTATTGATTTGATTTCTATATTCCTTCAATACTGAACTATTGATTTGTTTCAGTGGATAATTTTCATGGGTTTTTTTTTTTTTTTTGGTCTTGCAGCGTGGGGTTTATTTTGAAATTACGTATTCTGATCTTATTGTGGATGTTCATCTAAGGAGGCAAATGATATCCAATGCTAAGGTGAGGAACTCAATAGTGTTTGCATTGTTTTTGAATGGTTTGATTTTTTATGCTATGTTCTGATAAATGTAAATTTATAGCTGATGAAATGTTGATCAACAAGGATATGAACAATTGATGAATGGTAGGAATTAAAACACTAAGTTATGGTTGTTTAGCTGGTTTTTGAAGATGCAATTTTGGTCAATTGAGTTTATTAATAAATGCATTTGAGATAATAGTGGATGTTATCAGTGTGAACTTATTATCTGAGGCATACTGTTCCAGTTGCTGGTGGATTGGACTCGAGGAAAGAATCTCATATTTTCTAGTGCTGCGCCTTCTGTATGTGAGGTTAGAGGACCAAATGATGTTGCAAACTTAGCAACTTTGCTTGGTCTCTCTATAGAACGAGCTAAAGCAGCTATTTCCAAAAATTGTAGGTATGCTAACTTGTGAAAATTTTGTAGTCTTAGGACAGTAGTTAATGTTTCATTTTGTGTGGAAATCCTTTTGTTTTTTCTTGCAGGAGTCTTCTGGCTAGTGCTTTGAGGAGAAAACACTTTTTCAAGGAGGTCATCAGGGTTGAAGCAGTGTCATCTAGTGTGCCATTTGACAGTTGGAAACCTTGGTCTGCAGACTGGCTTAACTGGGATCTCATCTCTAGTGGTGAAGGTGATTTATTGCTGGATGACATGGCAAAGTCCTTCTCTTCCTCCAGTAATGTATCAAACACTGTGAAAGCCATTGATTTTGATTCTGTTATTGACAACATGCCATCGCACGGATTCCAAGTTAAGGGTTTGATATCTGGAACTAAGGCTGCCTCCCACTCACTGGCAAAAGTTAAAAACATTTTGTCTACTACGGAGCCAGTTCAGTTACCTATTATAACTAATCAGGTGTCTGAAAAGTCTGGCAAGCTCGATTTTCCTGAAACAGAAAAGGCTTCGTTAGATGGAACACCGTCAGAGCATCTAACCTCTTTATTTGGGGATTCTCAAAAGTTATACCTGACGACTGATGGTACAAAAATTTCAACTGATTCTGAGGAAGTTGTAACTAATACAACCACAACTAAGGAAGAACCTGAGACTCATAATGGCTTGGATATAATATTTGCCTCAGTTGAAAATGAATCTGAAAGTCTGGATCTGCAATCAGAAAATTGCTTTCCTGATTATGAAAAAAATGTTATGTTACTAAATGAGAACGTGAGAATTGAGGCATCAAGCAATGAACTAAATGTTGTAATGCCCAATGAGAATGTGACATCTCAAACATCAACCATGGACATTGAACCAGATGCAGGTTGTAATGCTGCTGCTTTAGAGATTTCTCCTCCATCTAAGGATAATATTTTACCTCCTGCTCAGAACAAAGATTCTAAGAGTTCAAAAGGTTCTCGAATAGATTCACGTGAGGAGACTATTAAGGTGGATGATGTAGCAGTTGGCATGCATATAGATGTGGAACACCAGGATAATATGTCTTTGTCCTTGACTAATGTGTCTTTGCTTGAAAATTTTTCAGAAAGGATACCATTTAGGGGTACTGGAGAGGATGCAGTTATTACTGATCAAATTTCATTTCAGCAGTCTGATGAAGGGGTGAATGTTAAAGATATACCCTTGGTGACAAACCATGAAAACCAAGTAGAGTTGGTAAAGGAGGAGCGAAAGAATGCAGAAAGTGATGTCAAAATGAATGATCCAGCCTCAGTCTTAAGTGACGAGTCTTTACACGAAAATGTCCTTGAGAGAGAGCCAACCACAGTACCTGGAGATGATGGGGGTCTTGTGGGTTGGAATCCATTTCCAGAGTCCAATGCAGAGATGAAGGGTAAAGACATACCTTCAACCATAACTAATGAGATCCAAGAGCCGGCATTGGAAAGGCAAAAGCATGGAGAACACGATAGAAAAAATAATGATCTTTCATTAGGTCAGCGTATAACAGGTACTGTGTTTGTGAATATATCATTGTTCGGGAACTGAATTCTATTATCAATGATTTTAAGTTTGATGGTTTTAGGTTTCCGTGTGTTTGCATCATTCTTTTTCCCCAATCAGCCTGCTTTGCTTGTTTTATTATCTATAACTTCAAATTGTCTATCAAACGCAGGAAAACTGAGAACAAGATGGAGGAATCCTCGTCTAGCTCTTTTATTTCCTTTACGGCGTTACTTGTATCCTGTATCTTTCAAGAGGAAAGCAGCTAAAAAATCTGAGCGCAGGATGAAGATGGCATAGCTATTTTAAGTTCCTTTTGTCTTTGTCTACCGGGATATGTACATTAGCTGAGCAAAGTTTTTTATTTAACCGCACTGATCTTTATCTACATTTGGTGATTATCAGAAAAAACTCTTGCAGTTCTGCTCTGTTCCTACCAGAACCATTAACCTGTTAAAGTAATTCGAGACTCATCAGCACTCTTCCTAGCTTTTCTTGCTTCTTTTGCTTATTGCAGGCTTCAAAAAACCCATCGTCAGGTACCAGACCTTGCCCACCGGCCACCATCATTATGAAGCTAGCCGAAATTTGTCCCCCGCATAGCAAAATGATGATTGCTAATGTGAAATAGTTCACAAACTGTAAGACATTAATCTTGTCATATTCATAAAATTGGAATTTGACATAGTGAATCAAATGTTCGTATTTCCTCCATAATTCCATTTAATCGCTTTGAACAAGTCCTCCTTTCTAAGCTGCATCTTTAGACCTGAATTTCTAGACCTAGTTGTACTTAATCATGCTGAATGCTTTACTGAACTCGATTAAATTAATAGTCAATACAAAAGATTACTTCCAAGCCTGTAACAATGTATTGACAAAAATGATTGGCTCGTACTACGGATACTCTGGAATTTGTCTATTATAAGAAATTGGATTTGGTATCAGCGCTCGATCATAAGCAGGTTGAGCTGATCAATCAGCTACATTTTTCTACGACTTGTTATTGCTTCTGCGGATCATTCTCCTTGGCTGTTTGAGCTTTCGGCATTAAATTTAGAGCACTAAAAGACAAAAACGTTTTTCCTGAGGTTCCAAGAAGCATTTACTTGGCACTGCAATTTGTTGGCAACCATGTCATCCAGGAATGGAGATATATGACTTTTACAGAGATATTATTGTAGAAAAAAAAATGCAATAAATACATTTTATATGACGGAGTTGCACGGTACAGATATGCTTCAGAGGCTAGATTGATTGAACAAAAGGATGTCGAAATATTATTCAGACCTCTTTTTGTTGACATTTTGAAATGTTGATGTTACAAAAACAAATTAATTCCTGACTTCTTTCTCAACTCCACAAGGAGGCCAATGTCAAAAGCCAAAAAATGGGGTCAATAAATCAAAATGATTGAAATAAAAAAAAAATGCAAACAAACAAAAAAGAGGGTTCGGGCAGGTTTTTGGTCAGAATGGACCAAGGAGTTGGTCATATTGATCAACATTTAGGAAGATCTGCTGGTGGAGGCAGCAGCTTCTGATTTGGAAGTTTTCCATCCAAGACAATCCAAGCCATCTTCAAACCCCAGCTGGTGTGCACCTCCAGGTGGCAATGCATGAACCATACCCCTGCAAGCATGTGGTTCTTGTCATGATCATCAACTCAAAGCAAGCAAGTAAAATACAGGTTTATACAATTCATTTTCTTTAATTCGTTTAATGTACCTGGATTGTCTGCTAGAAAACGAATTGCCACCCAACCTCCTGATGGCACACCTACAGTGTTCCTTTCAATAGGGTCAACCAGGTTGAACTTTGCAGGGTCCTTCTTAGGATCAAAGTTGCCAAAACCCTGGCCAACAACAAAGAAATTGAAACCATGTAGATGAAGAGGGTGGCTTTCAGCTCCAAGAATGCTCGTGTCCTGCATAACCAGCTCCACGGTAGCGTTAAAAGGAAGCACTACTACCTTTGTTCCGTTGCTTACCATAGTATTGTTAGGTGTTGTGCCTGTATAGTTAAACGAAATTATTGGAGTGTTAGGAAAATCAGGGGTGTAAACGCCGTTTGATTGGGCAAAGAAATGAGCTTGGAGCAGTGCTGTAGTTGGCGTGGCAAATGATACATTATTGACTGAAGCTGCAAACTTGGTTCCATTAGGACCTTGGCAAGTTTGATTCTGCTGGCATGGGATGGTTCCAAGACCTACCGTGAAGAAAAAATGCTTATCGATCTTCTGGGGCACGTTGGCTGGAAATTGTGCACTGGCCAGGCTACGGAGTTTACTCACGAAATTTGTAGCAAAGGAAGTGTCATTTAAAGCAGGTAGAATTGGTCGAAACAAGGGCAGCATTTTAATTGAGATGCTTGAATGAAGGCTATTGGGTGGTGACTCGTATTCTAAAATGCCGGCGACAGTTGAATTGTCAAATGTTCCTTGGCCTGTGACATACGGTCTAGCAGTCATGAAGAATGTGGCACTTGGATAGCTGGGTTTGGTCTTAAGAAGCACATTTGTGGTTTGACCAGGGGCAATGAGAAGTGTTCCAGTCTCAAATGGTTTAACATAAATAGCATCAACATCAACAACAGTTAGTGAGTGGTTTGCTATGCTGAAGAACAGCTCATCGTTGAGTGCAGCGTTGATTAGACGAAGAAGGTAAGTCTTTCCAGGCTTCACCTTCAGCTTGAATGTATCTGTCAAAATTATTAGTTCCAAGTTGAATCAAATAGCTCTATTATGTGTACATTGTTTAACACAACATTTTGGCTATTTTATACCTTTGGCAGAGCAGTTATAAAGTGGTCCTGGGTGACCATTGATGGTGTAAGCATCAGAGACATTTGGACCTCCACCCGTCCGGAGGGCCTGGCTAATAACTGCCTCAGGATCTGCATTGAACCACTCTCCTGCAATTTATCATAAGGGGTTTAATTGGTCTTAGCAAAATAATTAGGTTTTTTTTTTCTTTTTCTTTTTTTGGTTTTACATAAGAGACAAAGATAAGAGAAGTAGTTACAGGTGTTGAGATTCAAATCTCATACCTGCTGGATGTTATTTTTTAAGGGTGACTATTTGAACTAATAAGTTAACCTCCAGTTCAATAATTAAGTCCTTTCAAGTTGCTTATAAATGTAGAATTTTAATTGATCAGCTGATTTATAATTCATTACCGAAGATGATGGGAACCTCCTTGTAAGGCTTAGCAAATGGGTGCGGAACACCACGCTTGGGAAGAATGACTATGGGACCATAAACAGTTGCTCTTAGCCATGATACGTGGGCGTGCCAGAAGAGAGTGCCTCTTTGGCCTACAATGGTGAAGTTGTAAACGTAGCTCTGGCCAGTTTGTATGGGACACTGAGTCACATATGCTGGCCCATCTGCCCACCCACTTCGAAGCTGTCGAATACCATGCCTATTTCAAAAACATCATCATAACTTGCAATTTAGACTTCCTCTCATTAGTTTAAGCTTATAAGATAAATTATTTAACTTGTAATATCTGCAAAATGTCATTTTCCAAAAGCAAGCTCAATACCAGTGGATGGAAATATTTTTTGACACATGGTTGACCACTTTTATCAGAAGCTGGTCACCCTCCCTTGCTACAATGCGAGGTCCCGGAAATTGTCCGTTCACTGAAACAATGCTCTTTGTATGGCACAAACGTGTCACATTATGCAACTTGATCTACAAAATGTTAATGTACACCAATTAGAAGCAATAATTAAACAAAAAAATTTTTTTCAGATACATAGAAGGTCAACAATAAAGGAAAAGATTGCAGATGTTGATATTCAAATGCCAAACCCGATAGATGTATGTTACCTCTTAAGAGTGATTGCATGAACAATTGAGCTAAACTTTGGATTTTAAAAAAAAATATTTGATTAATGGAAAAGAAATTTCTTGTGCAATAATGTTAGCCAAATACATACATCAAACTTGTAGTGCCGGGTGATCCCAAGTACAGGGTTAGGAAGTAGAAACGAAGTGAAAAATAAGAAGAAAACCAGAAATGCAGGTGTTGAAAGAAGAGAAAAGCCCATTTTTTTCTGATGTCAATAGAGTGAACTTTGAATTACTCCTTGAGTACGTATTGGCATGCAAAGGAGTACATCTATATATAGTAAGGGAAAAGGGTGTTTGGTACTTTGGCTGATTAGGTGATAGAAAGTATCTCAGTTTAAAAATGAGAAAAAACTAGAATACACAGCTTCAATGTAGACTACACTATGACCCAGACCCAGTTGTTAGAACTACTTTAGAGTGCTGTCAAAGATAATCAATTGCTCTGACCTACTTCATTTATAAGTCAAAGCTTTATCTCTTCTATTTCCCACAATGGACGTGATTTTGATCTTTTCTATATTAATATAGTAAAACCAACTTTGCTACATGCTTTCTATAGCATTTGATAGTATCATTAGCCCCAAACATCCTTTCTTTGCAGCAGCTGCTAGATATGACATTGACAGTTACCAAACATCTGTAGTAAAAAGAGGCTAATCGAGGCAAAGTTTTCGTAATGAAAAAAAAATTGCGTTGGCATGAATTATTACATGTAATTTACGTATAATACCAAATAGACGAATTGCTAGGTATTCTGGTAAAGCAAATTTCAGGGTTTACATCAAGTAGTCATTTCAGAGTTAGATCCATGATATATTTTTTTTCATTGTAATGGAGAACAGGTCATGGAGGAATAACGGGGAAACCCCTATTGCCGCAACTTTTCTACAAGAAAACAGAATAATAACTACAGAGCTTCTGTATAAAGGGATATAAACTGAAGATAGCTTGATTTAAATGAAGGTAATGTGATGTCAAATTGTCCATTGTATCGGTTACAGAAATGGACTTGTACATTCCAACCACTCTCTCTTTCTCCCACAAAAGGCAAAGATTAAAGCAAGGTCATTGAAGTATTCCTTTACAGTTTTATGGCTTAAAAAATGGAGTTGAAGTATTCCATTACTGCCTGTCCTAGACCCAAAATTGATGCCAAAATTTCAATTCATGCACCAAAGGAAAATAAAATTAAAAAAAATAAAAAAAAAATTGAGGTGCCAGGAAGTCCAACTTTAAGTTACCAATAATATGAGAGAAAGCCACACAACAGATCTATGAAATATTTATTCAACAGAAAGCAATACAGATATAGTAAAGAACAAATGGTACATCTCCTAGGCTCTAATTCATATTCAGTGTTTTTATAAAATTTCGCAAGGCCTTGACTGAATAGAAATATAAGAAACAAATTCTAGTGGGAAATTGCAAGTAGAGCTTGTGATTGCTTCTCATAGCGGAAGTCGTTTCCCATGGAGTCATCTGCAGACCAAACAAAGATACCATGGAGTTTGTTCTGACTCTTTAGCCTATTGCAGGCAGTAAAGAAGCCGTTTTCTGGTGTCAAGCCTCCGCTCCCATCACTTATAAAGCTCACTAAAACCTGACCGCCATTATAGTTAGAGCTTTGGGTGTTAAAGTACTTCAAAAACTGAGAGACCGTTGTTCCTTTATCGTAGGCGTAAAATTGGAAGTTGACATAGTCTATGAGGTGCCCATAGCTCTTCCACAAGGCCTTGTAATGGCTTTGAACATCATCATCATCAAATGGAGCTATGGAAGCAAAAGAGATTACTCCATTCTTCTTGAGGGTTGTTATAAGTTGCCCAATGCACTCAGCGAAAGTGTCAGGATCGGCATGGAAGTGCTCGTAGTCGATATCAATTCCTTCCAAGTTATACTCTTGGATGATATCTGTGAGAGAAGAAACTGCATTGGAAACCCATGAATCTACAGAGGAAGGGTCGAAGTAAGCATAGCCATCTCCCACACTGTCCCCTCCTAAGCTCAAGGCCACTTTAACATTTGAATGGCGGCTCTTGAAGGAAGAAACCTGCGAAGGGCTAAGGTTATCAGAGTCCCAAAAGACATTGAACTGTCCATTTGTTGGAGAAGTAGAACCTGATGTGTTATAGTCTATGGCAAATGAGAGAATGAAGTGAAATTCAACGTTTGAATTAATGGGAACATCAGTGAATCTAACATTATTGAACTCAGCTCCTATATATTCTCGGAAGAGGTTTGAGTTTGAGTCTGCTGGAGCTGCTTGGATTGACATGTGGAAGGGGAACAAAGCTTGGAAAATGAAAAGGGCAATGAAAAGCTTAGTAAGATCCATTGGTTTTTTAACAAGTAGGTTACTGCTGTAGGCTTTTGAGTTGTATCACTCTTGTTAGAAGGTAATTATATAGATATAGCATACAAAATACTAAGGTTTGGGACATGGGGAAATTAAAAATGAAGAAATTGTTTGTTTGCCGTTGCCGTAATTATGCTTCTGGGATCTTTATCCTGCTTACTTCGAAAAAATAAGCTACTATTTTGGCTGTACACACAAATTTCGAGTAAAAATTAAGATTGAAAAAATTATAGACAAATAATAATTTTTATTTATCAAATTTGAAAATTATTATCTTTGAAAATTCTTAAAATAAAGAAAAAAAAATCTGCTTCAAAAGGATTGGAAGACTTGATATATCTTGAGCAAATGAAATTGATCTCCTTCGAAATTCACGAAAAATCCGTTTCAAGGGTCTTAATATTTTTCTCCTTCTACAAAGACTCCTAAATGTTAACTTCTAATATTATTGTTTAATATACTTTGAACTGTTACTTGTCTTCTGGCATTGTTATGCTAATGCTAGCCCATATTTAAATAATTGGAATGGAAGTTGAACATGTGACAACTTTACATACAAGTATGTAGAACAAAACAAAAACAGAATCAATTGAAATTTCTTTCCTCCCATTTTACATCACCCCTTTTCATTAAAAAAATAATATCATTGAACTTCATCGGCCTTCAAATTCGAAAGGAATGCAACTTGGTAAGAAAAAATGGATTAAAAAGCTCATGAAACAGAAGAACAAGAGGAAGAACATTAAATTAAGGAAAATGAAGATCAAGATGCTGTCATAATTTGATAGTTTAATGCAAGAAGATTTGAAAAATTATCATGGCTTAATGAGTCTAGATGAACATTGTATTTTTTATGGAAAAGGAAGCTTTTTTTTAACAAAAAAAAGGGCATAAAGCCTTAAAGAGAATATTTAAATAGCTATAATCCTACAGAAAGCAAATCCCACCGCAGGAATGGAAGTTTTTTAGGCATAAAAGATTGTTATATTATATTCATGAAACAAGATCAGCAATTGAAATTTGTTTATGGGTGATATTTTTAATGGAACATTCTCTTCCATTAAAAAAAAAAAATAGAAGTCTCCTAGATAGGGGTAAATTAATTAATTTTTTGTACGTATATTTCTCTGATGTGATTAATATTTTATAATAAATGAAATTGTCAAAATTTAAATTCTTATCATTAAAATTAAAAATTTAACACATAAATAACAAATTATTAAGTTATTGATACTACTGATTTCTTCTTTTTCAAATGTGATCAAATTAAAAATTTAGCATTTTAATAACAAAATAAAAGATTGTTAATGTGGATATTCGCATTAAACTTGTGAGATATTATTCATTTTAATTTAAATGTCTTATAATTTTATATTGTAAAAGACATTTAACAAATTTTTTATTTATATATTATAATAAACTTTCAAAATCTTTCGATATAAAATTGAGATGTCACAATTATATCATTTAAATTAATTATTTTGTATGTTAATTTGCATACGGGGTGCAGTACCGTATTAATCCTAGGCAATCCATATGGCAATTAATAAAGGCTAGTTGAGAGAGTTTACATTGCCCTAATCGAAGACGACTCAGTAACATAGTTAGAAGTGGAAAAATCCACATATTGAATGCGATTTGGACTGAATCTAATATATTTGGCAGTGTTACTCTGAATGTTTGTATACATAGAGAAGCATAGCAACAAAATTGAAGTAAAAAACGAAAGCCACTGGTAGCCTGCAAGGCTAAATTAATGAAGTCAAAGATAAACAATCAAGGAGCCGAAATACAAGCAGTAGGGAAAATCCAAAATCAAGAAAATCTCACAAGCAATACTATTTGTTAGCAGTAGATTTTGTAAAGGAGATCAAGATTCCAAAGCAGGTGGAGCAGACCAATTCAGATGATCAAGTCACTAGCTAGAGCCATGGTTTTGCCCACATGACCTGATCTTCTTATTCACTGATCTCACTGAACCGTACACCAGCACCAACATAAATGACCTTCTGTCAGTGTGGTTTGAGCCAATCTGACCCATGAATTCCAGCCTTGATGGACCCAGCTCAACCATAAAACTATGTGTTAATTGCTTTCTTTAATTACATTTCTTGGGTTAAGTAGCTTGATACAATTCTTAGTTTATGTTTACGTGGTCTTACTCCTTTGCTTTGCTCATAGCATGCTACTAACAAAAAATCTTCGCTTGATTTGTCAATTGAACGACCAATCTTGATAGATTCAAATATTCAATTTTAAGCAAATACACATCTTCATTGGTAAATTCGGATGGTATATATAAATGACCTAAATTAATGGATATTCATCGAAAATTATACTAGTATTATGAGAAAGATCATAACTCCAATTTTGGGGCTGTTTCTCACCAAATTAACTGCTTTTTTATCATGATGTGGCTAGTGGTTCAGATTATGGCTGCAATATCATCCCAGGAAATCACTTTTGCTAAAGGAATATATGTTGGAAATTGGAATAACGGAAGAATAACCGGAGAAGGAATCATGTTCTCTTTTCAAATGCAAAATCTCAGAGAAAAAGAAAGGGTAAGGGTTAGTTGTGAACAACCGAATAAAGAAGTGTAGTAAAGCATATGAAGCAAATACATCTGTTCCACTTCACAGAATGACATGTAACAACCCTTGTTTTGCTGCATTTCTCTACTTTTGCAGAAAGGAGAAAAATATAAGACTTTGACATATTCCTTTTACAAAAAAATAAATGCATGAACTAACTAAAATAATCTTTAATATTCTTGCACGTGCATGGATATGATTTCAGAATAAGTCAAAGCCTTGTATTCTATACTCAGGCTCATTAGAGTAAAGCAATTAGCTTTAGCATAAGATTATTGTTCTAATCTTTCCTTCTTAACTCTCTATTCTTTGATTATTTAAGATTAATGTTTCAAGATTTTAGTATAACTATCAAAAGCTTTACCAATTAAATTAGTTGGCATTTTCAAAATAATTATGAATCTTCATACTTATTCTTGATAGATTATATCGGGACCAATATTTTGGACATTTTTATTTTAAAATGTATAGGCATTAATAATGACAAAATTAATTAGGTCAAAACATTTTTTTTCTTTTATTTTCTGCCATGTGCTACAATAAGTAATTCTCTCTAACAAAAAAAATCAATTGAAGAGAATTAAATTAAGATGTCAACTAGACATTAACTCAAATAAAATGAATGATAATCAAACTTTTAAAATTATGAATTCAAAAGAATTTAAGTATATAATATCTTTCTTAGATAGTAATGGTGTTTGATACACTTATTCTTTCAATTTGTAGATTTTTTTTTTCTTTCATTTTCAAAAAATTAAGTTATCTATCTCATTTAAGGTATGTTTATATACATCTTATATCCATGTGTTTGCCTGAATTCTATCATCCACTTGAGTATTGATGTATAGTATGAAGGCTATTATAAAGTCATATTAAAAAAAAAAGAAATTATGTTGCCTGATTTAAATAAAAACGATATATATTAATGTAAAGTAATTGTTTTATATACTTTTTTTATTTTCATTCATACTATAATATTATAGAAAAATAATAAAAATATGATAATAATAGATATAACAATGAAAAATTTGTTGCATTTAAAGAATTTTTTTTATAGTTACACTGAATAGAGGGGGATTTTTAAAATTTTTTGTGTGTTAAATGTAAATGTTATCGCCAAACTATTCAAATTTAGTTAGACAATTATGCCTCAAATGACCATAGTTAACCTTAACTAAACTTGAAAATAAAGTTATAAAATTAACCTAAAAATAATATACTTAGGAAATTCATGTTCAATATTTTAATAAATTTATATTTGATCTATTATCAATATATAAATTTCATATATTATCAATAAATAAGATGATGTCATTTCGTTAATAAATAAATATCAATCATTAAAATAAATATATAAAAAATTAATATATTTTTAAAAAATTTACTCATTAATAAAGTAAAATAATCCGATTCATTAACAATATATCAAATATAAATTTTATTTTAATTTAGTAATAAAGTAATGTTAACTAACTTTAAAGAGTGCTTAGATATTTAAATTTATTTGAAATGAATGTTTGTAATAGTACTAAGCTTCCAGTAATCTTCTTATCACCGGATCAGAAAAAGGCATCACCAGTAAGCTTCCAGTGCAATTAATATTTATTGGAAATTTTACCTAATATAAATATGTTGCTTATCTTGTTTAACAATTAATACTACCAAATTTAATTGACAAAGGCAACTCTTTTTCGAAAAGGAGACAAAGAAAAAAAAAATAGTGGGCAATATTGGGAGTCTTTATCATGTAAAAACAAGCCAAACTAATAATTAATTCAAAGACCTAAAAGACTTTAAAAATAAAAACTACTCTCCTCCATAGCTTTGATTGCTTGGTACTTTCATGCATGAAAAGGTTAAATTAGGTAGGAAAATTCTTACTTTGCTTTGGGATCAAACCCAAGAAAGAAAGGAAAAATATAAAGAAACATCTTTTTAGCGATGTTAGTGGATTTAAAATTTTTTTAGGGTGTTCATTTATAACATATATAAATTTTTTATGAATTTATTAATTTTATTGATAAAAATAATATTTTTTATTTTTATTTTTGGGAGTGTTAAGCAGTTTAGGAAAAGTTTTGAAGGGTGCTTAAATTTTTTTTTTCAATTTTTAATATTTGAGGAGTGTTTATATATACTTTTTGACAAAAAGTGGATCCAACCCTATTTAAGGATTTTATATTTCAATAAGACCACTTTCTTTTTTTTTTATTATTAAATAACAAGTTTCAAAATTATCTCAATTAATCTATAAACTATTAATTTAATAATATTGAAATCAATTTTAAAACTTAAAGTGTCAAATTCATATCCCAAAATGCCAAAAAAAAAAAATCTTAATTTGCTTGCAAAATAAATCATGTGAACCAATTAAAATGAATTAAT